GTGTAAGAAAAAAATGGCTATTTGATGTGGCGTGAACAATGAATTATAACACAATATCTGTTACACACTGTGGTGTAAAACAATAATAATGCCCCTGTCTTTACCAAATTTCCATACGACACAGCCAACAATTGTAACAAAACTGACGAAGCGGTCTTAATCCAGACAAACAAGATCCAACATCAAGAACAGAGATGAAAAAGTTTATATCTGTCTGTCAAGACGAAATTCATGTACAATTCAAACAAACAGCAAAAGACAATTGTAATTACATCATGGCTACTTCAAGTTACCGTAACTGGTATATACATTATATTGTTTGCAGCGGAGAAAGGCTGGCAACATAAGCCGAAACCTCTGTACTACAAAAACACCTTTGCGCTGAATGTAGTTTGAATAAAGTCAGTTCTTTCTCAACGTCCTTATCCAAAACTTAGCTATCGATTTGAAGCAGGCATATCTAGTAAAGACTGTGGAACAACACCGGAAGTCATTTCTGCAAATGGTTTCATTCCTAAAATCGATCAAAATGAACTTGGACCAACCCAAGTTCAAGAAAATGCAACCAAAAAAGTGAAGTGTCAAAAAGTTATTGTTTTGGATGCTGCTAAGATAGTGCGAAAAGTGACCGATATACCAAATTTGTAGCAGCTATAGAAAGCTGCTAGTTAGCTATCCGCAGCCTCTGGCAAGTGGCAAAATATCCTTTATAGAATTTATGAAATAAAAGTACGACCCTATAGTTCCTTAACTTTTGGTAGAGGTTTCGAGCTGGAGATAAAAACATAACACTCGCAAATTCGAGTAAAACGAATAATATTAACAGATAACAAGCAACAAATAAGAGATAACCAATAAACAGCAGCGAGAATAAAACAAACAAACAAAAAAAGAATTTTATGAAGAAACTGTCAGTTGAATTATTGTAAAAAAGCTGCTACAATTAACAAAAAAACACTGTTCCAATATTAGTGTTCGAATTTTACCAAAGTTTTCCGTTAAACGACTACCTCACAAAACCCAAGCCAACTTTACACGGAGAATGGCAGATCGAATATAGTACATGTCTTTGGCAAAGCAATGTCGTGCTTCCTTCCGGAGGTACGGCCACTGAAGTTAACCTAAGAATATGACGGTTGAGGGTTTGAAGAAATCAGAACTACAAGACCTGAAGCTGGGATTGAGTGGAGAATGGCGACTTCAAAAAGTACTGAATTGCTCTATGAAAATACTACAACAGGTATGCTGGGAATAAGAAAACGCTATTCTTGAGGAATATAGCATTACATGGCTAACGTGAAAGAAGAAAGAAAATGATGGTTCCACCTGAAAATACTACCACAGAAGGTACTCTGGTCTTCTGGGATCGAGAGTGATTGGAAAACTAAGCTGCCGTACTGTGGTTCGCTCCGAAGACACCCAAATGAAATATACCAGAAATACTCCACCGTCATACCTAGAGAACACAGTGCTACGAACACAGTTTGACTTCTGGATCGAGACAGAGAATAAGATAAAGACCATTATGGACCGAAAGCATTGTAAATTTCACAGAGATAACAAATATTCATGCGCGAGGATTGTAGAAATCAGAAGATGAAGCAGACCAATACATCATTCATCTACTTTCTTGACAAAGGATGACAACTCATTGTTTGATTATCATGATCCCGATCATTATCACGATTTGCATATATCAGGAAGTGAATGATCTGCTTTACTTGAAGGCACCTGCCATTTTCATCAGTTTCTTCGATCCTGGAACCCTCGATGGGAAACAGGGAACATCATTCACCAGCTGACGTCGCATCGGTTCGCCTTTCGTGTGGTTCCTCGCCTCACAGCAAAGAATATTCTGCACGGTGCTTCGATCAGACTTGAACTCAGAACAGAGAAGTTCTAAATTCGAGATCCGGTCAGGTCATTCGTCTCGTCTTTCATCCTTGTAAATCAGAAGCACTCTGTCACGTAATTCCCGTTGACTCCCGGCTGGTGGCATGGAAATAAAGATCGGCGTAAAAAGAAGAACGCTAAAAATGACCCAATCATGAAAGTGTCAGGAAGCCCAACATTCCAACGGTTACCAGCTTTCCTCTCTTTCTTGTTTGCCGTCGTCCAAAGGTAAACTTCGGTGAAGAATTTCGATTAACGTAACTGGACCTTTCTTGCCTATAAATAGTGTCATTCTAAAGAATCACATCTACGAGGCACAAGAAAAATTTATTCACGTAAGATCCGTAAGATAGTTCAGTATTTTTTTATAAGCACCCGTAAAACTATTGACAGTATGGCATGTTATGCAGAGAAGAATTTCGGGGGAGAACTGAACACTGCCGTTAAATAAATGTTCATATGGTTTCAATTTTTTGTATAAGTTTTGTTGTGCCCAAGCAGCAAACGGCAATATCGCCGTCGCACGGAGAGAACCGTCAAAATGCACAAGAGTACCGACTACACAAGAGGATTTAAAATACGGCTGTGACTTCATTCACTAAGGCATGGCCTTTCACACCAAGGCGATGGTGATTGTAAAACAACAGTCTTTGTGGCAAAACGAAATCCGCATAGCAGATATCGCCGCGCTGTCCGAAATGTTCGAGTCAAAATCCTAACCTCCACTACATGCATAAACGTCTGTGTCAAAACCAGCCTGAGCCTATATGATGCTTTGCTAAAGTTCATACATTTCAACATATTGAATCTGACAATATAAAAGTTTATACAATACATAATAACTTATACAGTTTCAAAACACAAATAGAATGTTTAACGCCGCAATTCATAAACTACAGAATTCATTTACTGAACGACACCGCAAGGCAAGATTGTTAAGTACAGGATCTCCAAGATTCACAGCATATTCCAATCACCTTCAGGGAGTAAAATCGGGCAAACAAAATTGCTGTTAACATATAAATATACGGCACTGATTAACGACGCAAATCTCCTGCTACTTGCTTGAACGCGAAAGGTATAGTCGAGTCGTGTCCTCGCTTCTGATAGCCTAGGGGAACGTATATGCAAGCCAAGGTTACGGCGACGGCCAGAGGAGCACCTGCACTGCATAGGCGCAAAAAGAATCACTTTGCAGTGTCGAACCCCACACACATACACAGGTCTTATATACAGACATTGCATTAGCGCATATAATGCGTATTTCCAATACCGCACTGTACACCGACGTTTCGGTTCACGACGATGTTACACTCTATGACATTTCGGCTAAACTTAAGTTACCCTATTTTATACTGTAGAAGAAACCTGAAGAAGAGTAATACTTAAAAGAGAACAAGTGTAAAAGTTTAATACGAACCTCAACGAATGGCGGAAACCGTTTATTGTCTAGACAAACATTTATTTAAACTCAAGTTACTTTAGCAATTCGGTGTTCCATTTTCAACTTACAGTGGAAAAGGTACACCACCATTTCGGCTACCGAGAGCTCGTAACCTTAAATGGAGATTTTCTTTCGCTTTAAACTGTTTACGGAAA